GCAAGTGGTCCCTGTGACCAAGAGCCAGGAGGACTGGAGTCCCTGCAGCCCTGGGTGCCAATGCTGGGCTTAATACTCTGCTCTTGCAATCTAGAGACCTCCAGTGGCATAATGCCGTCAAAACAAAGGTAACTGGTTTGAATCCACCACTTGCTTCTAGAGAGAAAAATATAAGTCTCCTCCCGTGCAATTTACAGCCTCTGAAAACTCGCTGGTGGTCCAGTCATGACAACACTTTGACTCAACAGTGTATAAAAACACTGTATTCTTTGAATGCCTAAAAAAATTTTTTTTTAAATTGACTGGTACAGGAGGATATTGCTCCTCCTTCTCCGGCAGAGCATCTGGTGGATTCGAACCGTGTTCCTCTGGGATTGCAGTGCAGCTTCTTGCCACTAGGCCACCAGAGCTCCCCTCTAAGAAATTTTTTTAATTGAATTTAATGAGAGTTTACAGAGGCTTAGTGTTTCCACTCATTCATTGTTGCACTTTTCTCCCTACCCACCCCTTCCCAATTCACTCTTCTTGAAAAGAAAAAGAAAAACTCTTTCATTGTTATGCAATCCCTGCCCTCAAGTCCACTCCACTGTTTAGCCTTCGTTCTGGACTCCTGTCAGGACAATAATACCTAATCATATATTCCTTTTAAACAGTTCTCTCCCTCATCTGTTTCAATGCACTGTACATCATTCCTCCCCTCCTTCTCTGTCTTTCCTCAACCCCAATGTCAGTCCCGTTCTACAACAGTGGTCCTATGCAATATTTGTCCTTTTGTGACTGAGATATTTCACTTAGCATAATAACCTCCCCTTTTGTATAATATTTCATTAATTCCTTGTTTTCAATGTTGCATAGTATTCCACTATGTGAATATACCAGAGCTTCTCTATCCATTCGTTTATTGATGGGCACTTGGGTTGTTTCCAACTCTTTGCTTTTGCAAACGAAGCCACGATAAACATGGGTGAGCATTGAATGTCTAGGAAATTTTTAACAAGAGGTCCAGCATTTTTACTTTACAATGGGCCGAAAAATATTAAATAGGGGGGGAGAGGAAAGAAGGAATGGGATCAAGATGAGAGCCACAGGCTTTGAAGAGGAGGGGAGGTGAAGGTATGTTTTTTGTTCAGTGTCTTTGAGTAGCCAAGGACTCCCAGAAACCCCATCACAGGTCTAACCCCTGCTCTGTCCTGTACGGTCCTCATCATCTCTCACAGCACAGTGTTACAGTCCACGTGCCAATCCGACTCGTTGAAGGTCTTCCTCTCTTTCTCTGACCTTCCACCTTTCCAATTATGATGTCTTTTCCCCCTAAGGTCTAGCCTTTATAGGAATCATGTCCCAAATACGTGACACCAGGCTTTGCCATCTTTGCCTCTAAGGAGCACTCAAGTTGCACTTCTGTCAAGACAGACTTGTTTGTTCTTTTGGCAGTCCATGGAATAGTCGGTGCTTTTCTCTACCACCCCAATTCAAAGGCATTGATTTCGTCTTCGGTTGTCCTTTTTCTTGGTCCAATTGTCAGATGCATAGACAGCCATTGAAACGACTATGGCTTGGATCAGGCACAGCTTAGTCTTTAAAGTGACTACAGTTATGCCAAATTTCATCCTAAATATTTGTAATAAACCGAATGCTACTTCAGGTTATGAGGGAGGTGGATAGAAGCTGGAATTCACCCTGAAGCACTAAGGCAATCCTTAAATGTTCACAGGGGTAGGCACTAAGGCAATCCTTAAGCTTTTACAGGATCCTTGCATTGTATTTGCTAACCCCTCCTTTCTGAGTCAAGCAGGTTTTCAATAGAAAGAGTTTAGCTTTTGTTTGCATTGAATTCTATTGGTGATTTGCTCCCTGGCAATTTTCAATAAAAACACAGGGAGGCAAGGACCAGCACTTCAGTTCACTTCAGTTGTTCCAGAACTCTTCCCCTCCTGCTTCACCTGTTTTCTCTTACATTCTTGGTGTTCTGTCTCGTTATTAGTATATATTTTACCCTCGGTCTGCAACACTACAGCACTTTGGAGAGGTCCTTGAGAGCAGATTTCTCCAGTGCAACATGTCTTTTGATTTCTCAACTGCTGTTATCATGGGCATTGATTGTGGAGCCAAGTAAAACAGGAGAAATGAATGGTCACATATTAGCAGATTTGGAAGCATTTCATAGCACCCGTCTGAGAAGAGCAAAGGATGGGTGGCCCAGGAGGCCGTGGGGTGGGGCCTGCTGACGGATGTGTAACTTGCCTTTGGGAAAACCTGAGAAGCAGTGATCCTAACTGAAGAACTAGATCCAGGTCTTTCCTATCCAGAGCTGTAACCTGTTGCTTCCCTAAGAGGAAGCTGTGGTGGGGAGTTGTGCTGTTGTCAATCCAAAGGCACGTAGTTTGAATACACTCACCACTTTGCGGGAGAAAGATGGACAATGTCCTGTGGGACTTGTTGTTGTTGTGTGCAATCAAGTCATTTGCAACTCATGGAAACCCTACGTACAAGAGCCCTAAATGCCATTCTATCCTGTGCCAACCTCACTGTCTCAAACACATTCATTCCCACCACTCCACTCACAGAATCGATCCATCTCATCGAGGGTCTTCCTCTCCTGCGCCGTCCCTCCACTCTCCCAAACATGATGTCACTCTCCAACGACCAGTCCCTTCTTGCAACATGCCCAAAGTATGTCAGACCAAACTTCAGAATCCTTGACTCCAGGGAACATTCTGCTTCACCCTCTCCAGGACAAACCTGTTTGTTCTCCTAGCAGTCCACGGTGTATTAAACACTCTTCTCCAGCACCACAACTCAAAGGCATCAATTCTCTTTCTATCCTGCCTAGTCACTGTCCAACTCTCCGATGCATAGCAAGTAATTACAAAGACTATAGCCTGGATCAGGTGCACCTTAGTCTCCAGCCTGATGTCGTTGCTCTTCAGTACTCTCGAGTGGTCCCTCACAGCCGACTTTCCCAATGCAATTCATCTCCTGATTTCCTGGCTGCTGTTACCAAGAGTGTTGACTGTGGAGCCAAGCAAACTAAAACAGTTAACTGTCTCAATCTCTTCACCATCCATACTGATGCTGCTAATTGGCCCAGTGGTGAGAATCTTTGTTTTCTTGTTCTTGAAATCCCACTACGAGTTGGTTCTGACTGGACAGCGCATAATAACAACGTCCCCAACAAATCCCAGTATATGAACATTGTCTGTGAGTTCTGGGTGCCCATGAACAAATGATGGATCCCAATAGAGAAGCAGAGTGCTGTGAGAGGGATAGAGGGTATCCCACTTGGTAGAAAGGCTGGAAAGAGGTTGGCTGCCCGGATCTGGAGAGGTCACTACTCTCTTGTCGAGAAGTGTCAGGATGTCAGGCCCTGCCACATCGTTCTCATGGGAGGTGACAGTTGGTGAGAGGAGAAGGCAGAGGGCAGGAGGGGAAGTCAGTGGCCTCGGGCCTGGGCCCCAGCGATGACTCTCACCTGTGTGCCCGCCGGGCCTGCATGGGCCAGGGCAGCTCTCGGGGGGCCCGGGGCTCTGGCAGCTCCTTCTGAGCCGCGTCCACGAAGGACTGCATGCTCCTCACTTCGTCCTCATCCTGCTCCTCCAGGGCCCCCCACGGCAGCACCCCAGGGCCTCGGTACCTCAGGGTGGTGGCGCTGGGGAGTTCATTCAGTACGGAGGCCAGGGATGGGCCTGGAAAGGGGCACAGAGGAGCCCTCAGACAGCACAGTCTATGCCCTCCTCTTCCTTAGACCTGTTAGGACTCTTCCTCAGATGCCTTCCTCGCTCAGACCCCAGTGTCTGATTGCCTCCTTCCTCAGATTTGGGAGTCTGGGGTCTTCAACTGCTTTCTCCCTCAGACCTCCAAGTCCCAATCTCTCTTCCTTCTGATTTGGGAGTTTGGGCCCTAAACACCCTCTCTCAGGTGGGGTGTCTCGGCCCTTCTTCCTTCAGACCCTTGAGTCCCACCCTCAAATCTGGTAGTTTTGGCCCCAGCCCCACCTTTCCTGGGAGTCCCACCTCCTCTTCTCTCTGACAGAAGAATCTTATTCCCTGTCTCCTCAGTGGGGCCCAGGCCCCTCCTCCCTCAAATCTGGGAATTGGGCCCCTCAGCCTCATCCTGCCTTAGACTCGGAATTCCTGTCGCCTCCTCCCCTCAGGTCGGAGTCTTCTGGCTCTTCTTCAAGGTTCCAGGTACAGATTCACCACCCCCTCCCTGAGCCCTGACTTCCTTTGCTTATTGCATCCTGGGCCCCCCAGCGGGTCAGCCAGACACCCCTAGCCTTCTTCTTCAAGCCTCCAGTCTGGCTCTCCTGCTCCTTCTGTCCCCGGTCTTCAGGACCCAGAAGCCCAGGCTCTGTTCCCTTCTCCCTCTCCCAACCTTGCAGGACTGGCCGGTGTGGCTCTCCTACCTGTTCTGGCCCCCCGGGGTGCCAGCCACCCCCCAGGGGGGCTCTGGGCCTCAGATTCCCAAGCTGGGTTCTCCTCCATGGGCCCCAGGCTCAGTTATTTCCGCCTCTGGGGCCACAGGGCGTGGACAGCCCCAGGTAAGGGAGGGCCCTGGGCCAGCTATCCCTGGCCACCAGGTGGCCTGGAGGGAGGGCCATGGGGCTGAAAGGCCTCCTGGGAAGTGGAGTCTCTGGAGATGTCCCTAGTTTACAGCTTGGTTCTGGCCATGGAGTCATGGAGTAGATTCACAGCGACTGTGAACAGACTGAGTTACATTCTCTTAAAAGAAAGTGTCCCCCGGTCCTAATCTGTAATGCACAGCTTAAAAGAATTTGACTGTGAAGCAAAAAGTCATCCCTGCCTTCATCTGATACTTTTACTCACAGATCCCCGATATGACAAGTCAGTGATTTGAACTCATTCACACCAAAGTGCAAACCAGCCACTGAGTGAACCCCACTCCCGCTGACCCTGCCCCCCGACCCGTCCGCCCCCGGCTTCCGAGGCTGTCAGGAGGAGACTGCCCAACTTTCTGTGACCTTTCTGTGAGCATTTGCTGTCGTTTGCGGTGGGGTTGGAACCGACCCGTACCTGATCATCCAGCGTATTTTCAGAGGCTGTAAATTGCACGGGACACTGGTTGACTGTGTTGTCATCAGGTGCTGTCAGGTATGACCCAGAACAACCTCAAGAACAACAGATGTGAACCCTCTTCTAGCCTGTGCCGTCCTCACAATCTCTGACACACTAAAGCACTTTGCAGCAGTCGCTGTGTCAAGCCATGCAGTGAAGGAAGAGTCTTCCTCTCTTTTGTCTACCCTCCACCTTCCCAAGCACGATGTCCCTCTCCAAGGAATAGGCTCTCCGCAGACTGCTGAGAGAATGAACAAGTTCATCCTGGAGAGGGTGAAGCCAGGCTGCTCATTGGAGGCAAGGATTCTGAAGCTCCATCTGACATACTTTGGACACGTTATAAGGCAGGACCAGTCCTTGGAGAGGGACGTCATGCTTGGGAGTGTGGAGGGACAGCGCAGGAGGGGAAGGCCCTCTATGAGGTGGATTGATTCAGTGACTGGGGTAATGGGGGTAGGTGTGTTGGAGACAGTGAGGTTGGCACAGGACAGAGCAGGATTTAGAGCTGTTGTACACAGGGTCACTATGAGTCACGGTGACTTGACAGCACATAATAACCACATGCCAAAGTATGTGAGATGAAGCTTCAACACCTTTTGCCTCCAAGGAGCACTCTGGCTGCACCTTCCTCAATGTATACCTTTGTTCTTTTGGCAGTCCATGGAATATTGAACTCTTCTCCAACACCACAGTTCAAAAGCATCAATTCTTCTGCCATCCTTAGTCATTGTCCAACTTTCAGATGTGTAGCAAGTGACTGAAAAGTTCATGGCCTGAATCAGGTAAACCTTAGTCTTCAAGCTGACATCATTGCTCAACCTAAATCAGGTACACCTTAGTCCTCAAGCTGACTTCATTGCTCAGTAATTTGAAGAGGATCCCCGACTGCAGAATTTCCCAGTGTGATACATCTCCTGACTGCTAGTACCCAGTAGGTTGATTGTGGACTCAGGGAAGATAAAGTAATTCATTGACAATTTCAATCTTTTCTCCATCTATCATGATGCTACTTCTCAGTCTAGAGATAAGAATTCTCGTTTTCTTGATGTTGAGACGCAATGCAATCCATACTGAAGGCCGTATTCCTGAAGGCAAGTGCGTCTCTTCACTTTCAGCAAAGGAGGTTGTGTCATCTGCATAACGAAGGTTATTGATGAGTCAGTCTCCCTCCAATCCTGACACCACATGGAAACATCTTCAGAATCCTCTTTGTAGAGCCCAGCTTTGTGAATAATTTGCTCAGCACACCGATTGAATAGGTATGGAAAGAGGACAACTCTGATTACTTTTTTTTTTTAAATTTTAAAACATGTAGTGTTCCTTTGCTTGGCTCCACAGTCAACACTCTCACCACCAGTAGCAGGGAAATTAAAAAGACATATTGCGATGGGAAAGTCTGCTGTTAGGGACCTCTCTAAGGTACTCAGGAGCAACAGTGTCTCTCTGGAGTCTAAGGTGTGTCTGATACAGGCCATGGTCTTTGCAATCACTTGTTATGCATCAGAGTTGGACAGTGACTAAGGAGGATAGAAGGAGAATTGATGCCTTTGAGCTGTGGTGCTGGAGAAGAGTATTGAGGGTACCATGGACTGCTAGGAAAACAAACAGATTTGTCCTGGAAAGGGTTAAACCGGGTGGCTCCTTGGAGGCAAGGATTCTGAGGCTCCGTCTAACATACTTTGGACATGTTGGGAGGAGAGACCGGTCCTTAGAGAGGGACATCATGCTTGGGAGGGTGGAGGGACAGTGCAGGAGAGGAAGGCCCTCTATGAGGTGGATTGATTTCAGTGATTGGGTTAATCGGGATGGGAGTGTCAGACGGTTTGATTGGCACAGGACAGAGCAGAGCTTAGGGCTGTTGTACATAGGTAGGGTCGCTATGAGTCACAAGCGAACAAGTGTTTCTTTGCTCTGTTTGCACAAAAGCCTCTTGGTCTGGGTACAGCTTCCACAGGAACACAGTTAATGTATCCCGTCCTTCTCAAGGTTAGACCTAATTTACTGCAACCCACAAAATCAAATGCCTTTGCATATTCAAGAAAGCATAAAGACATTCTTCTGGGATTCTTACTTTGGGTTCATCAGACATCAGCAACGAACGTTATCAGTGGAGCCCATCTATAGAAGCCCAGTGTGTTGGCAGCTCAGAATAGACAGAAACTTCCTCTAGAGCTGCAGAGAAAGCTTTCTTCTGGAGTCTGTGTCCTAAATTTGGACTTTTCGCGAATTTGCATGTCATCCTCATGCAGCGGCCTTGCTAATCTCTGGATCGTTCTGATTTTAGTATACATGCAGTCAAAGCAAGCACTAATTTGGACTTCTAAATCTCCCAAACTGAGGAAATATTTGTTAAAGCTACTAACTGAGGGGATGTCTCAGGAGCACTAGGTGTCACAGGATAGGACAGGGTTCAGATCTCCTGTCTTCAGGGTCACTAAGTTTTTACTGGATTCATGGGCACCTGATCACAAGACTGACTCAGTGGCTACATCAACAGGTTCCACCAGCAACACCTGTGAGGATGAGGCAAGGCCTGCCAGAGCTTCGATCTGCTCTATGTTGGGTCCTTGTGGTGCAGAACTTGTGGTGCAAGGACATGGGACCTTGGAACAGAATAATGAAGACAGTGACCCCTTAGGCTCCCAGAGCTATAATCCTTACTTACAGAGGGTTATGGGAAGCCCAATTTCATACCAAATATTATATGAAAAAACATGCTTGTTCAGGAACTGAAGGAATTTAAGTTAGGATTTCTCTTGTGACAGATCACAGAATACGAGCTGTTTCCTGGGGACAAGAGACAGCTAGGGTCCCCCTACAGAGGGAGTGTTCCTTTCTTCCTGAGCTAAAGCATTAGCTTGACCATAGAGAAAAACTTGGCTTCATTTACAAGGGAATTCTCTTTATTTGCTTCCCTATTATCAATAATTGGAAGCAGGAGCGGCATCCACTTCCGTCATAGCTTGCCTCCGGAAACCCTATGAACCTGGAGAGAGGATGAGAGACACCCAAGCGTCGAGGATTCTCCTTCAGAGGGTCGCTATGAGTCGCCTGCGACTCAGCGGCACTTAACAACATCATTATCAATAAATACAGAGAGGCATGGCTTATGGCGCTTCAGTTAATTTGAACTGCTGGCCCCCTGTCTTTATGTTCTGTTTTATCTCATTCCTGGTTGTCTGTCTCTTTTTTAATAATTATAAAAATACTTTACTCTCAGTCTGCAACAGAGGGGGGCTCAGGTAGCTGAGGCTGTAGGGAGGTCAACCTAGTACTAACCTGAAGGCTACACCGCTTTTGGGGGTTCAAATCCACCAGGAGCTGCACCAGGGAAAGATAGGGTCATTCCTGTGCCATTCATAGCGGTTGGAAATCGGATGCAGGAGAGGTCAGGGGTTGGTTAAGACTTGAGGCCACGGAGAGAAAATCTTTAAGGAAGCAGTTGGCCACGTTTCTTTCCTGCAGAGTGGCAGGAAGGTTCAAACTGACCACCTTTTTTGTTTAGTAACTGAGCACTCAATCATGGTACTACTGGGCTTTCTTCGTTCCAGGACGCTGAGAGTCAGAGCAGTGTCAATCTCATCTGTTTCTCTCTCTCAGCAACATGGATGTGTACATATACACATATGTACGTGTATACACACACACACACAGAGCTGTCCTGTGCAACACTTTATTGGGAACGATGTAAACACTGACCCTGTCTTAGGCTGAGACCACGACGAAAGGATGACGGGGCACTGGGGCCCTTTGGGGGCTCAGACAGAAGTGTCAAGGAGCAGGGCAGTCAGTCTCCAAGCCTGATGGCCTTCCCCTCAGTTTCCTCTTGAGGGGAATGGGAAAGTCTGTCCCCTTTCAGTCCTCAGACCATGATTTGAGGAGAAAATAAAAAGTAGATCGTGAGACAGGGGCAAGGGGTCCCTAGGGCTGGAGCTCCTCGCCCTGCACTGTGCCTCCACAGAAGCCGACTTTGCAGGAAGCCAGTCCCTGATGTTCTGGGGGCCGCTCGGCTGGCTGAAGGGCACAGGGCCGGGGGCCGGTGGGTGGGACCCCAGCTTGGCTTCGGTGGGGAGTGATGCACGTAGCTGGGTGAAGGGAACCCTCTCCAGGACTCTGCTGGGGGTGGCGACGGCAGTCCGGTTCACAGAATTTCCCGCGAATCGTTGAAGCTGTACCGCCATGCGCGGCTCACTCCTCTCGGAGCTTTTCTGGGGTGAGGCCGGGGGCCTGGGGTGTGGCCTTCCGCCGCCGGCCGGGGCTGCGTCTGCCCAGCACCAGCCCCACGCCCAGCAAGGCCAAGGCCAGCAGGTGGATGCAGAAGTAGACGGAGGCCCAGTAGCGCAGCGTGTCGTGCAGGGTGAGCAGCACGAAGCCCATGCACATGTAGTCGAAGGCACGCATCCTCAGGAACCACTGCACCCAGTCAAAGGCCTTCTGGCCACTGGGGCTCAGGTGCCTGCGCACGGTCGACTCCAGCTGGAGCTCGACCGCCAGGCACAGCGGGACGGTCAGGAAGCTCACGTAGTAGCCGGGGTGCAGGCCATGCCAGTAGGCACTCAACAGCATCGTCCAGGCGTGCCTGCGGGGATGGGAGAGTGAAGGTTCCACCCGGGAGTTCCAGCGCCCAGCCCTTCCCTCCTTCCTCAGAACTGCAGTCTGACACTCTACCCCACCCCCAGACCTCTTCATCACACTCAGGCCTCCCCTGTAATAGTCCAGAAAGGCTGAGATTAAAGGCATCTGCCTCCTTCAAGAAGCCAGGATCCCCAGGCTCCCCCCCAGAACTCTGGGGCCTCCCTTCCTTTAAGGATCTCCAGTTTCCACACTGGGCTCCTCTTCCCTCGGAAGGAGGTCCGCTTCCTCAGCTCAGGGGTTCTCTGCCCCTGAGTTTCTCAACCGTGGCCCTGGCTCGGCAGCAGCGTCACCTGGGAACCTATCAGAAACGCAACGTCTCAAGGGAGCTCTCGTGGCAAGAAGCTGCACTGCAATCCCAGATGTAAGTGGTTCGAATCCACCAGATGCTCTGCTGGAGAAGGAGGGGCAATCTCCTGTACCAGTCAGCTTTGACTTGACAGTACACACAAAAGGAATAAAGTTTTTTTAAAAGCCTTTTTAGGGATTTCTGTTGGCCTAGTGGCAAGAAGCTGTACTGCAATCCCAGAGGTAAAAAAGCCTTTTTGGAAAAAAAAAGGCAACATCTCGGGGCCAACCCCCACCTTCCACTGTAGGAAGGGAAATCGAGACGCTGGGACCGAGGGGACAGTTCTCGCCCATCTCTTCGTTCACTGTTGAGTGGACACGATGCTGCCCAGCAGCATCTCTGGCCTCTACACACAACACACCAATGGGAACTCCGATAAGTCCCCTGGATGTGACAGTGGCCGCCCTGAGGACCTACTGGCCTGGGCACCGGCACGTCCTGGGCACTGAGCCGGCCCCCGGGCTGCGACTTTCCACGTCCCGTGCACCTTGGTGACAACCAGGTGTCCACTTCTGGCGCCGGCATCAGATCACTGGGCACCTATCAGGTAACCCCGACTGGAGCCCAGTCACCATGAGGCTAATGGGCGTAAATCGATCCCAAGGCTTCACTTCCACGTGGTCAGTGGATTCTGACTCGCAGTGATGCCATGTGTGACAGGGAGCATTACCCGCCTGCAAGGCTGGGATGGTGATCGAACAGACCAGCCGCCACGTCACTGGATTGCAGAGGGCTGCGAGTTCGAATCTGAGACTACTGAACCATGGGGCCAGGGGGACTCGCTCCCAAAACAGGACGCCACTGAGCAGATCTCGACCCCCAGCAACCCCAAGGGTACCCAAGCACCCCCACCTTCCAGCTGCAGAGCAGTGGCTGCCCTCGAACTCAAGACCTTTGGGCACCCGCGTGGGCGCTCTGGATGGCTGGATACAACCTAGAAAATCTCGGGGGTGCAGCCCTACTGGACCACACGGTGGTGGGGGTGGGGCGACTCCATTTTTTGGTTTTTGACACTTAACAATTTTTATGGACTTGGACCTGACACTGGGTGGGTTTGAACTACCAACTCTGCAGTCAGCATTTGAGCACAAGCCATTCAAACCACTTAAGAGAGCTCATTCTGGCTCAGCACGCAGGAGCCCGGGTTCAAACTCACAATAAACTTTGTTAATTCGGCTAAAAAAAAAAAAAAGCTCATTCTCCAAAGCCTTCGCCTCCTATTTGTAGGTACCGCTGCTGCCTTCTGCAGAATCACAACTACGCCATGGGGCCACCTTTGCAGGCCTTTTGCGCAGCGCAACTTCCGGTCCGTAACTTCCTGTCGGTAACTTCCGGTCCCTAACTCTCGCCGCTCAAATGCGCCCGGTCCCCAGCCACCTAGCGTGTGGTCTCCCCACTTTCTCTCTGCTCCTCCCTCACGTCATGGCCTGGTGCAACCTAACCCTGCCTGGTGGCTCTGGCTGGACTGGGCACACGGAACCTTTCGCTAGGAGCCACAGTTTCCTCACCTGTGAAATAAGGGCATGGGGGGGGGGGGTTTGTAACGGACGCACCGGAAGTGCACAGGCTGGAGGGGAATGCGTGTGATGCGCTGCACACGCTGCTGAACTGCTGTCAACTTTTACCCCGAAAAAAATCATAGTGAAGCTTGGGGGCTCAGACAGCTGGCACTCTCTTGCTAGCTCAATGCTTGGGAGTTCGAACCCACCCTGATGATCTGCGTCCTTGAGGACTACAGCCTCGAGAACCCCGTGGAGGTGGTTCTACTGTCACAAATGAGGCGACGATGCCAATTTGGCTTTTTTTGGGGGGGCGGGAGGCAGATATATAGCAAGGCTTCATATTTTGTCTTTTTTTCATGCATCAACTCACTGAATTTTCACATGACTCTTTGATAGGGAACATCATCCCCTTTCAACAGCTAAGAAAACGAAGAGGTCAAGGAATTCTCTAAGTTTCTAAGGAATTCTCAAAGTTTCTAAACAATCAGCAGGGCCGAGACTCCTGAAAGTCTGGTTCCCGAGTCCTCAGGCTGAAATAGCTTTAGTTAAATTGGTGTTATATGCTGTCAAGTCGCTTGCGACTCATAGCGACCCTATGTACAACAGCCCTAAACCCTGCTCAGGCCTGTGCCAATCTCATTGCCTCTGACACACTCATCCCGATTACCCCAGTCACTGAATCAATCCACTTCATAGAGGGCCTTCCCCTCCTGCGCTGTCCCTCTCCCCAGCATGATGTCCCTCTCCAAGGACCTGCCTCTCCTTGCAACATGTCCAAAGTATGTCAGACGAAGCCCCAGAATCTTTGCCTCCAAGGAGTAGCCTGGTTTAACCCTCCCCAGGATGAATCTGTTTGTTTTCTTGGCAGTCCATGGTACATTCAATACTCTTCTCCAGCACCACAGCTCAAAGGCATCAATTCTCCTTCTATCCTCCTTAGTCATTGTCCAACTTTCTGATGTGTAACAAGTGATTGCAAAGACCGTGGCCTGTATCAGACGCACCTTAGTCTCCAGAGTGACACCACTGCTATTCAGTACCCCGGAGACTTTACCATCGCAATACCTTTTTTGATTTTCCAACTGCTGGTGCCAAGAGTGTTGACCGTGGAGCCAAGCAGTTTTACTTAAATAAGATTGATTTCTATAAATCTTCGTTGTGTCAATGAAGGCTAAAAGATCACAGCTCTCATGAGCTTCACCGGCAGAAGGGCAACAACTTACCTCCCAGTCAGGTGGTCTCACGTGTTAAAAAAAACTACAATTCCCATGAGGACGTGGGGGCAGAGGCCGGGCTCATGTGCCCTCCAAGCTGCTGCGGGGGCTGCCGGGAATTGTAGTTCCCTCCCAGCCGGCTCACCTCAAGACGTAGGAGTTGAAAGGTGCTCTCTTGTAGACATACTGCGACAGCCACCACTGCACCGTCATGTTCCAGCAGCGCATGCAATCCCGCACCCGTACGGTGAAGTCCGTGCCGTAGTAGTCGATGTTGCGGATGGTCTCATAGTCGTACTCCAGGGCGGCCGCCTCCTCCGGACTGGGGGTGGGGGTGGAGGATGAGGGTGGGGGACCGACTTATGCAAGCTCAGCCAGGCCCCCTCCCCGATGCCTGCTCCTGTCCCAGTCCCGATGAAAGCTAAGAAGGGGATGTGGCCAGGTGACAGCTCGGATGGCCACTGGATTAGCTAGGGCGACAGAGGGGGGGCGGGAGGAAGGCTTGTGGGGAGGAAAGTGGAGGGACTCTGTTCACCAACCACAAAGAGCTGGCAAAGGCTATGGTTGCTAAGCTACGCGTCCTTAGCAACGTGACCCTTCAAGGTCATTTCCTTAGCAACCGAGGGTCATCTGTCCTGAGAAACTGCCCGTTGAGGACCTTGCCAAGTTGCCGGGCACTGCAATTGCCAGGGAAATGTCATCTCCTAACAAGACGGGTGGGGCTGCTAAGGTGATGCTGGGCCCACTTTACAACTGGATGACCTCCGTTGCTAGGGAACGGGCATTCCTTAGCAACAGTCAATGAACTCGTGGGAAAGCTCCCAAAAGGCGCCTTTTCCTGCCTGCCGGCCCCTGTGGTGGCTGGAGGAACATGTCATCCCCAGGTGGTCAGGGGTGTCCAGGCCCCCAGCTGCCCTGTCTGGATCCTCACGGTTCTGATAGGAGAGGGGACCTGGTAGGTTCAGAAAAGCCTTTTTTGGTTCCACCAGTTGCTCTTAGGGGGAAAGATTTGGCAGTCTGCTTCCGGAAAGGTATTACTCTATGGGGGAGTTCTACTCTGTCTCACAGGTTGCCGAGTCAGAATCGACTCCATTGCAGTGGCTGTTCGAGTCAGAACAAACTTGTATCTGGCCCCCCAGAGGCCGTAAATCACACAGGAGGAGACTGTCCATCCCTTTCCTATGGAGCCACTGGTGTGTCCGAACCACATGCCTTTGGGATTGCAGCACAGCTTACCACTAGGCGACCAGAGCTCCCTTGAGGATGTATACGGAATGGTAGAATACTGGCAAGGAGGAGTAGGTGGCAATTTAAGACTTTCGGGCTACGGCCCTTCCCTAGCTTCCACTAAAGTGGGTTGTGGTTGCTAGGGAAGACAGGGGCATCCACCCTAGGGGTGCCATTCCCCTAATCACACAGCTAGGGTGTTATCACCCCTAACAACAAAAGTGCATAAGGAATATTTTTACTTAGCTAGCTTTCAAGGTGCCAAAGAGGAGTGCTGGGGGCCAAAAGAGCAGCAGTTCAAGCCACCAGCTGCCCCGTGAGTGAACGATGTGGCAGCCTGCTCTCTGAAAGGGTTTGCCCTTGCAAATCTGACAGGGCACCTCTACTCTGACCTATGGGGTCCCTGTGAGCTGAGCAAGGGATCTAATTTGGTTTTAGCGACAGAAAAAGGATTCTGGGTGGTGCAGCTTCTAAGCTCTCTCATGCTAGGCTTCTTAAGGAAAAGTCAGCGGTTCGAAGCCACCGGCTCCAAGAGAGAAAGAGCCGGGGGAAACGCTCCTGTGGACTACAGTCTAGAAACCCTTCGGGCCAGTTCCGCTCTGTCCAACGGGGTCACAAGGAATCGGCACGGGCTTGGTGGCACTCGACAACAGCAGTGACAGGGCTGGAGGAGAACTATCATGAACAACAAGGGTCAGTCCACGTAGTTCATGGAGGACTCAGCTTCCTTGGCAACACGAGGAAGCCTGGGTTGCTAGGAATGACCAGCTAAAGGACAGCATTGGCGGGAATGCTAGTTTCTAAGGAACAACAGACACCTGGGTACCCCTTCCCCTGTGCCAGGCTTGACTGACTGAGCTGGCTGCTTCCGCAACAGCCAAGAGCAGCCCTTCCAGCAAGAAGTGGCCACGCTCACTCAACAGGGTTTCCTCTACCAAGTTGGAGATCATTTCCCTAGTAACACAGTGCACGCTGACACAGCTTAACAACTCAGGACATCCTATGCTTGCTGACCTGTCCCCTTCTCTTGCCAGCAACTGCAAACAGTCCTCCACTACCAAGAGTCCCTGGGTGGTGCAAACGACCAGTCCAAAACTTGGCAGTTTGAACCCATCCAGAGGTGCCCTGGAAGAAAGGCCTGGCTAACGTCTGATAGGAAATCCTGGGGAGCTGTTCGATTCTGACACACACGGGGTGGGAGGTAGGGGGCATCACGAGTCGAGACTGACTCGAAGGTGACTCAAAACGACAAGGGAGACGGTGCTACTGGAAAGCCTTCTGGAGGCAACGTGGCTGCGCCTGGCCACTAGGGGCCTGGCCAGCCCTGGGTGATGGGGCTGAGGGGTTCTCGGGCAACCTCCCTCCCGCCGCCTGACCTGCTGGGGGGTGGGCATTGGAGGGTGGGGCCTCCCCCGGTCCGGGCTTTGGCTGCTGTCGGGTAGGCCCCGAAGCCGGCGGCTATGCAGCCGCACTCGGCCATAATCCAGGCCACGTAGAAGCGCATGCGGAAGGCGAAGAAGATCGGGACCATGTAGAAGAGGCGGGCGAGCAGCGGGCGGGCGTAGAAGGCATCCTCGCGCACGGCTTCGAGCGGGAAGAGGTGGGAGGACAGCAGGAAGAGCAGGCCAAAGAGCGGGGCCGGCCAGGCACGGCGCAGCAGGGGCCGCAGGCTGGGCACGGCCTCCGGGAACGGCTGCTCCAGCCAGTCCAGGTAGGTGCGGTAGCGGAAGAATGGGCCTGTGCGGGAGGAGGCAGGTGTGAGGCCAGGAGGGCTGGGGACACGGGGAGGGGCACTGAGGGGGGGCGCGACGGGGAGCAGGGGGCACACCGGGTGTAGTCAGGGCGCAGGGGGCAGACTGGGCGCTGTCAGGTTGCAGGGGCCAGACCAGGTGTAGTCAGGGCACAGGGGGAGAACCAGGCGCTATCAGGGCGCAGGGGGCTGGACGGGGCGCTGTCAGGGCGCAGGGGGAGGACCGGGTGTAGTCAGGGCGCAGGGGGAGGACCGGGTGTAGTCAGGGCGCAGGGGGAGGACCGGGTGTAGTCAGGGCGCAGGGGGAGGACCGGGTGTAGTCAGGGGGCAGGGGGAGGACCGGGTGTAGTCAGGGCGCTATCAGGGTGCAGGGGACCGGACCGGGCGCTGTAAGGGCGCAGGGGTTGGACCGGGTCTAGTCAGGGCGTAGGAGGCGCACGAGGTTTAGTCAGGCTGCACAGGCGCAGGGGGCGGGACCGGGTGCAGTCAAGGTGCAGGGTTGGGGCACAATCAGGGTTCAGGGGATAAGACCACGTGCAGAGTGCAAGGGGCAGGGACAGGGCGGGGGTGGGGGTGGGGGTGGGACCTGGCGCTGTCAGGGAGCAGAGGAAGGGATCGGGTGCTACCAGGGTTCAGGGGGTGAGACCAGGTGTAGTCAGGGTGCAGAGGGAAGGGACTGGGCACTGTTAGGGTAGAGGTGGCAGGGATGGGGTGCAGAGGGTGGGGACGGGATGCAGGGAAGGAGTGGAAGTGGTGCATGGGGAACTGTGAAGGGGTGCAAAGGGGTATAAATGGGATGCGGGGGACAGGAACAGGGGGACATGGGGTACAGGTGGCAGAGATCGGGTGTAAGCAGGTGGGAATAGGTTTAAGGAGGGCAGGAGCGGGGGGGGGGGTGGGGAGGAAAGGGGTTGGGGTACAGGGACCAGGTAAAGGGGGTACGGACACTGGGAATAGGGAGCAGGCTTGGGACTGGCAGCACCTAGGAGCAGGAATAGGGTTTAGGGGGACCGAGTTAGAACACACAAGAGGCACCACACTTGGGTAGAGGAGCGAGACAGACAGACGGTAAGCAGGACAGACAGCAGGCGGCGCGGGGGGGGGGGGGGGGGGGGCGCGCAGCGTCCTCACCGGTTATGACTCCCACGTAGCAGTAACTGTAGCTCAGCGTCTCCATCAAGGAGGGCACGTCCGGAAGCAGCCCGACGGTGGGGCCCTTGCTGAAGCCCACGACCATCTCCTTCTTCCGGGCCACGTGGAGGTCCTGCACGTCACTGGCCAGACTCACCAGCTGGGGGGGGGGGGCAGGGGCGTAGGGTGAGGGGGACTGATCAGACCTCAGTGCCTCCTCCTCAAACCTGTCTCCCCACAGCAGCCACCACTCCGGGCATGTACCACTGTCCCACAGACACTGTACCCACAGACGCGCTCCAGTCCTATATTGAATCTGTACCCCATACCTGGATGTGTATTTAAGGAGCTCCGGTGGCCTTGTGTTTTTTAGGGAGGTTTGCTGTTCACCCACCTCTCTCTGGAGGTTCGAATCCCCCATCTCCAAAACACCAGCATTGCAAAATACAGTTCTAGCTGTTCAACACAGGCCTGAACACATTCTATACAACACATATAATGAACACACTATATACAACCATGTCTCCCCCTGCTGTTAGCCATGTGAGGGAGGTCTGGTGGCCGCGTGGGTAAAGAGTAGAACTGCCAGCCCAAAGGCAAGTGGTTCAAATCCACTAGCTGTCCCATGGGGGGAAAGATGTGCCATGTCCCCTCCTCCCTGTGCGATTTGCAGCCCCCCAAAACCCACTGAAGGGTCAGCTATGAGTCGGTTCCAACCTGACAGCAGTGGACGCGTCAGATGGATAGTTAAAGCCAGTCAGATGTTTTGTCTTAGTGTGCCTGGCTGGTTAAGAAATTTGACTGCCAAGAGAGCTCTGGGGGCCTAGTGGCAAGAAGCTGAACTGCAATCCCAGAGGCACCCGATTCAAAACCACCAGGTGCTCTGCCGGAGAAGGAGGAACAATCTCCTCCTGTACCAGTCAGATCCCCTTTCACGGTGCAGACACACAAAATAATAACATTTAAAAAAAGTCTTTCCTAAAGAAACCGTAACTGCCATCCAAGAAGATATACGCACACCCATGTTTATCACGGCTTTGTTTGCAATATCAAAGAGTTAGAAACAACCCAAGTACCCATCAACAAACGAATGGATAGAGAAGCTGTGGTGCATTCACACAATGGAATACTATGCTGCATTGAAAAACAAGCAACTCATGAAATATATATACAAAATGGGTGACCCTGGAGGCCGTTATGCTGAGTGAAATATCTGTCACAAGACGACAAATACTGCATAGGGCCACTGTTGTAAAATGGGACTGACATTAGGGTTGAGGGAAAGAGAGGAGAGAATGAATGATCTATACTGCATTGAAACAGATGAGGGAAAGAACTGTTTAAAAGGGGTATATGATTAGGTATTATTATCCTGACAGGAGTCCAGAATGAAGGTTGCACAGTGGAGTGGAATTGGGGAGGGGGGGAATGCATAACAATGATAGTTTTTTCTTTTACTTTTCAAGAATAGTGAACTGGGAGGGGGAAAGGGGGTGGACAGGGAGAAAAGTGCAACAATGAATGAATGGAAATCCTAAGTCTCTGCAAACTGTCACTAAAATTAATAATTAAAAAAAAGTCTTATGGTGCAACCACTGTGGAAGGCAGTATGGCACTTTCTCAAAAAGTTGCAAATAAGCGAGCTCTGGTGGCTTAGTGGCAAGAAGCTGCACTGCAATCTGAGAGGTGAGCGGTTCAAATCCACCAGATGCTCTGCTGGGGAAGGAGGGATAATCTCCTCTTGTACCAGTCAGATGTGATTTGACAGTACACACACACACACACACACACACACACACACACAATAATAATTACCGATACATCCCAGCACACAGCAGCTGCGTGCCAGAGTGCGCCTTAAAGGCAAAGATGGTGAGTTTTTGGGTTTTTTTACCTCACACACTCTTTGTACAGGTCATCAAGAGGGGCTTGCCCCTGGCAGGAGAGGAAGCCACATTTAGAAAGGTGGAACTCAGGGAGCTCTGGTGGCCTAGTGGCAAGAAGCTGCACTGCAATCCCAGAGACACAGGGTTCGAATCCACCAGATGCTCTGCCGAGGAAGGAGGAACAATCTCTGAGGGAAGCCAAATATCAAATTTACCATTTGGTCTAGTAGACCAAATCCTATATCAGGAAATGAGGGAGGCTTAACATTGTTCTTAGTATCAACTGAATCCCTCCCTCCTGAGATTAGCATAAAGAGGAACTTGGCCTTATCTGTAAAAGACTTCACTATTATCCTTTGTTTTTATTTTGTACTTCCTTATGATTTTACTTTGTTTACCTTATGATTCTAAATACTCAGAAAAGCATGGCTTGGGGCCTTCAGTCATGGGAACTGTTGGTCCCCTGTGTTTCACTCTGTTCTATATCATTCCTGGCTGTCTGTCTTCATTATTAATAATTATAAAAATACTTTACCCTCGGTCTGCAACAAATCTTCTGTACCAGTGAGATCCGATTTGATGGTACATACACACACAAAATCATCATCATCCACAAGAAAGGTGGAAGTCATTCCTATCCAGTTGGGACAGACTCATAGCGGACGATGGCTCCAGTGAGTTTTCAGAGGGTTGACATCACACAGAAGGAGGCCCACTTTCTCTTGTGGATGGAAACCATCTGCCTTTTAGGTTAATAACATAGCTCCTCTGTTAATTAGGTCACCAGAGTGCCCCTGGCAAAAGTAGGGACAGAGAATGCAGAGTCCCTGAGGATGGTACAGGACTGGACAAGAAAGAGAGGGAGACCCTCAACGAGGTGGCCTGACACGGCGTCTGCAACAGTGGCCAAAGCCTGGCCGACCTCGAGGACGACACAGGCCGTACGACATCCAGGATCTACACAGTGAAACATACACCAACTCAACTGCTTCTGTGCGTCCAGTCATTGGACACCGACATTCCTTGAGTTGTGCAAACCGTTCAAGCTGCTTTTCTGGAAATTCACAGCTCCCACTCCCCTTCAGTCCCCTCAGGGTTCCTATCTGACCTTGTGAGTTGTTCCTATCAAGAAGATCCACACAGATGTCGGAAGATTGCAAGACTTCAAAGCAAGCCATTCCTCACTGGTTTTACCACAGCCTTGTGAGATGCTGGAGAAGGGGGTGCAATCTCCTCCTGTACTAGTCAGATCCGATTTGATGGTACACACACACACACGTACACACACATGTACACACACACATACACACACTTTTTAAAAAAAAAAGGTCTATGAATGGAAGGGGGAAAAAATAAATATATGAATGAATGTGTGAAAACACACACAAAAACCCCACTTAAATGAAAATACTTAAAAAAAAGAATCTTATAAGGGCCCTTGTCCTCCAGGGTCACTGAGTGGACAGTGAGGGTCCGAGGTACACTCCGTAAAGGTTTCAGCGACCACTCACTGATAACTCCCAATCTCAAGCCCCTAACTGGATCTCTCCTCCAGCTTCTGATTTATTTCACTCAGCTGTCCAATATCATTTATATTTGAATGACACCCCCCCCAAATCTAATCGACACCCACTACTATGAATCAACTCAAATGCAGAGCAATTCCACAGGGCAGAAGCAGGATCATCCAACAGGATTTCCAAGGCTGACATCTCTATAAACACTGCCCGCAGCAGCTAGTGGATTTGAACCCTTGAGCTTTGGCTCGGCAGCCAAGCACTTCACCACTGTGCACCTGGAGACATCCACCAACACCCAACAAAATAGGGTTTGTCCCACACCACCCACCAACACCCAACAAAATAGGGTTTGTCCCACACCACCCACCATAGGTTCTCAAGGCTGCAGATCTTCATGGAGGCCGAATGCCACACGTGGCATCCTTCTCCCACGGACATCTGCTGGCAGCTTTGAACCACTGACCTCTCGGTTAGTGGTTGCTCAACCACCTTACCGCCAGAGCTCTCTGATGTCTACCGGCCTCAGGGCTCCAGCTCATGTGTCCTGAGCATGTGAGGTTGCAATCTCACCACCTCTGCCTCCAGGGTGTACAAATGAACCATGTCCTGGTCCTCCCAAGGACAATTCTCGTCTGGTGTCCTAGTCCGGAGACCTTTCCTATTCCCCAAATTGGTCTCCTTCCTATCTGCTCTCCTTACCACCTCGACTATCAAACTGCTGATGACACGTTAACTCCAACTCATGAGGACCCCAATCATATGAGGATAGAACCAATTAAGGTACAAAGTGAGCCTTGAGCACACTGCTATTTGCACATCTCTCTCTGTCTCTCTGCAGATGCTGGGGAAGAGTCTGGAACACTCTGGGAAGTGCTATGAGAATCAGAATCAATCTGTGTCCTGGACAAAGCACACCCAGAATGCTCCTTTAGAAGCATCTGACCTTGCACACCCTGGACACAAGTTCAAGAACTGATGGCCCCAGGAGAAGGCCATCGTGCTTGGAAACTTTAGACGGTCAGCTGGTAAAAAGAAAGACCCTGAGTGAGATCAAACGACACAGCAGCCCCAACAACGGGTTCAAACACAGCCAACAAGGAGTGAGGCTGGTGCAGGACCCAGCAGTATTTTGTGGTGAGCCTGAACTGACCAACAGCACGCAGTGCACGTCTGTGGCAGGGGAACTGGGGGGCAGGCGGGTGCAGGAGCTGCCTGTGGGGTGCCGGAGCTCAGATTTGGGGGGACAGAGACTGATGATCAAAACGCAGCTCTGTTAATATTTCCAGCCGCCTTCTCTGATGGCCTAGCACACGAGGACTTGCTCTGCCAAGCCAAAAGCAAGCAGTTTAGATCCACCAGCTATTCCGAGGGAAGAAAGACAGGCCCTTCTCCAGCGCGATTTACAGCCTCTGAGAACCCGCTGGAGGGTCAGCTAGTGAACTGGTTTCGACTCTACAAAAAACCCGCTGGAGGGTCAGCTAGTGAACTGGTTTCGACTCTACACAAAAAAGTTTTTGAGTTATTGACAGGAAGAAGGTCTCGTGCCCTCATGGTAAGAAGCTGGGCTGCAAAGCCAAAGGCATGCAGTTCAAATCTACCAGTTCCTCTGCAGGAAGACGCAGTCTCCTTTTGTGCAATGTACTGCCTTGCAAAACCCACCGGAGGGGCTGCTATGGGTTGGTTCCAACTCGGTGACGATACACAATAACATTGACAGGAGAAACTGAAGGGTGTAAACTGTTACGCATTTGTGTTATCAGCACAGCAGGGCACCCGCTCATAGGACTCTCAAGGTGTTTCTGAAGGGTCAGCTATCAAAACCTGGTGGAGTGGTTTTTCTCCATGAGAAGTGCCTTAGCAGCAACTATGATCTATCTTCAAGCTCCGGCTGGATGCGTGACGTGAGGGAAAATGGTAGCTGCCTTGTGAAAGTGCTCTGCTCAGTGACGCCCTGATGGAGCCTAGCACACCCAGGAACCCACAGCTCTGCAGCCTGCGGGAAGGGGGGGCCTGGGCCCCATTTCCACTCATCTCCTCAGGAGGTTACACGATAAGAACCTTTATGCCTGCTCCTCTGCTGCGCTTCCTCTCTGTCCAATGTTTACAGCCATGCATGAGTGTTGGACTGCTGGCTCAGAGCTGGGCAGTTCAAAGCCACCTACAAGCAGCTCCGAGTCAAAGCCTGGTAAGGCCACAGCCTCAGAAACCCCTAAACTGGGGGGTGAGGATCTATTCTGCTGTGCAAACAATGTGGAGAGTTAGAACGGCCCCAACAGCCCACGTGAACTCTGTGGGACAGGAACTGGCAATGAGGTAGGGATCAGGGTGAAAGATCACTTTTCTACTTGGTGCTGGTTATTGCGATTGATGGTCCCTTGAGGCAAGTCAGCTGATTCTCCAGAGGCAGTAAATTGCACAGTGGATTGCTTACCCTTCTCCCACGGAGCAGATGGTGGATTTCAACCGCCCGCCCTTGGGCTGGCAACACAACTCCTTATCACTAGGCCACTGGAGCTCCCCTGAGGGCTGCTAGCTGGAGTCAATTCAACATCAACAGAGAACAAGGACTGAAGGAGAGGGTTGGAAATGACCCATCCAACCTCTGGCATGGGGGTGCAAGTGCTCCGTGACAGCTGTTGCTACAATACCTATGGTATGTAGCTTCACCCAGGAGCACAGGGCAGGTCAAGAGGTGTTCAGAGAGCGCCTGATAAGTGGACCCTATTCCCAGGGGTTTCCGAAAGGCTAAAGAATGGAAGACAACCCCTCCACCTTGCCCCCAATACAGGGGAGTGGAAGGGAGACCCGTCCCAGTTGGGAGGAGGGGAAGCTGGGAGGTTATCGGGTGCATGGGGAGCAGCAGCCCTCCCCTCCATGTATGTGTCTGACCTTGAGCGTAAGCAGCAGCTGGATGGCATTGGTGTATGGCGTGGGTGTTGGCAGGCCCAGCAGGCTGAGGGCTCTGAAGAACAGCAGATAGGAGAAGGTCCAGGCCAGCGCCAGGGCGTGACAGGAGCTGAGGGAGAGATGGGAGAGACCTCAGGCTTGGCTGGCCTGGCCCCAGGTGCACCTGATCCCTCCCTCCTCCTGCGAGGACAGAAAGTGGGGATGGAAAGGTGAAGGGGCAGAGGGGCAAAGGGGAGGGGAAGAAGAGGTGCACACCACAAGGGACGAGGAGAAGGAGGGTTAAAAAGGGGGTTCAGGGTGAAGACCTTCCAGTTCTGGAATTTTCTTGGCTTCCATGAATCCAAAGCCCAAGATAAAAGAGAGACACAGAAGACCAGAAAGAAGGACGTGGAAAGAAACAGAAAGATAGGAAGAGATAAGAGACTCCTAATCAGAGTCATCAGACAGAAAGAGCTAGAAAAACAGAGAAGAGGACGAGTGATGTGAAAGACACAGAGGGACGTCTTGAGAAATCAAGACACAAAAACCCCCAGGGAAGGGGAGCTCTGGTGGCCTAGTGGCAAGGAGCTGCAAATACAATCCCAGAGGTGCACGGTTCAAATCCACCTGATGCTCTGCCAGGGAAGGAGGGGCAGTCGCAGTCTCCTCCTGTACCAGTCAGATCTGATTTGACGGTACACACACACACACACACACACACACACACACACACACACAAAAATTTAAAAAAAACCAGGGAGACATAGAGATTTAGAAATAAAATGACACAGAAAACAGTCTCCAGCTCATCATAACCTCACAGGGCTGAGGAGAACTGCCTGGTGGGTTTTCGAGTCTCTACAGAAGCAGGCGGCCTGATCATTCTCTCTGGGGGTGACTGGTGGGCTCAAAGCACCACTTTTGGGTTAGTAATTCAATAACTTAACCACAGCACCACCAGAGTCCCTGAAAGACAGACAGGGACAGAGATTGAAAGCAGAGAGAGGCAAAGAGACACAGATAGACATAGAATGCAAAGGTCTGGGATGAGTAGGGCTACAGGCAAAGGCAACTTCAAAGCAGAGAAGGGGCAGGAGCTAGATCAAGAACAGCAGTCTGAGTTCTCTCCCTAAGATCTCACCATGGCTGGGCCTGAATGAGGGCCCAGGTCCCCAGGACGGTGATCAGGGAATGCAAAGTGTGGGGGCCACAGGTGAACAGGGTGATCCCCAGGCCCACCGCGGCGCCCCCCCATCGCTTCAGCCCAGGTCCTGTGGGGAGAAGAGAGAGTGTGAGCTTGGAATCTTCCAGGGGTCCCCCCACCCCGCACCCCCTTGTTTTCCATTAGGCAGGGAACTTGACTCACCAGCTTTCTTAAAGAGGAAGCCGATGGGGATGGAGATAAGAAGAACGAAGAGATAGGTCTGCTCTTCTGGCGACATGATCTGGGGGAGGGGCAGTTCACAGTCACAACAGGGGAGCCCCGCCTGATTCCCCTCCCCCTCAAGGACCTAGAACCCAGCTCTGAATTCTCAAGGATTCCACTGTCCAGGACTCAGCTCTGTCCCAAGGATCCCTGTCTTCCAGGCCCTTCCTCCTCTGAGGACAGAGAAAACCCATCTTTTTGCAGTGAAGTCCAGGTCCCTAGCCCCCTTCCTCCTTCAAAGCAGGAATCTGAGTCCAAACTTGGCTCCTTTCAGAGTCCAGAAGTCGTGGATCTCCCCAAGCCCCTACTGGGGACCCAAGTTTCTAGACTTTTGAGAATCCAGAAATAGCCCTCCTCTTAACCTCTTCCCCTTCGGAAGCCCAGGAATCCAAACCTCTCAACCCCTCGGCTTCCCAGCCACTGCCGCTAGCTTGTAGGACAGATTAAGATTGCCTCCAGGATTAACCTTTAGGCATAGATAAAGTTCCAACAGCCTCCTCTTAGAAATCTCCACCCCTTTCCCTTTGAGAACCCAGATATCTGCACCCAGTCTCCCAATCCTGAACCCAGAGGCGTCCGAAACACCCACCACCTCCAGCTTCAGCGCTGTCTGCGCCCCTGCTACTACCTGGAACCAGAAGAGCGAGCCCCACTCCCTGCACAGCACCTTCCAGCCCCTACCTCCAAAAGGAACATTTTTCAAGACACTTGCCTCTCCCTTCGAGAATGCACACCCAACCTCTGTCCCGGCCCCTGATCCCAGGATCCAGAATCTGAATCCCTGTCCTCTAGAATCCCAGTCTCTCACCTGAGAACCTCAGTATCCAGAATCCCAGCTTTAGATTCTGATGATAATCCACCTTACAACTCCCCCTTCGGGACTCCTGGTCCCCTTTCCTACCTCGATCCGGGAGAACAGGCCCTCACCCTGCTTTTTCAGCGACCCCCTCCCCAAGTCCCTATAGGTTCCGCGCTCTGATCCCGCCCCCGACAAAGCCACAGGCGGTTACGACACCCCCGGTGCTCGGCCGAGCTCCGGGGGAAGCAGGGGCCGCCTCCGCACCCCGTCAATCAGCGGATCTGCTATGACCCTTCCCCACACCCCGCACCCCACGAGTCCTTCCTGGGGCGCGCCGATCCACCGGGGTCCCTAGCACCGCGCGACATGGACAGGAGGCGACCGAGGAGTCCCAGCGCGCGAGGCCCCGTAGGTCCGGCCACACCTCCCCCGTCCAGCACGCCCCCGCGTCGTGTCCTCGGCTCTCGAAAGGGGGGAACTGAGGGCGCAGACACCGACAGGGGTTTCGCGATGAGCACAGAGACACCTTACCGTGAGCACGAGCCCGCCCGGGGTCCCAGTCTGCAGAGCCGGGCTGGGGACTAAGAGCACATCGGGGGCGGGGCTTCGGGCGGGAAGAGGCGGGGCCAGAGGCTCGGGTTGGCCGGGAAGAGCGGGAGGGAACCTGGGAAAGGGGCGTGGCCCCGGAGCGCAATATTCTGAAAGAGGCGGGGCCTAGCCTTCGGATTCTTTCGGACAGAGTCGGAAACGCCCACGCACAGATTGGGGGCAGAGCCACAGCCTTCGGCTTTCTTCGGAGATTTTCGGGAAACGAAGATCGCTGAACGGCTGTAGGCGGGGCCATAAGCTTCGGATTCTTTTGCAGATAATGGACCTGTGTGACTCTGGTTTTTTGTTTGGGGTTTTTTTTTTATAAGCAAACATTTTATTTAATTTAGAAATGTTTTAAATTAAGGTAAGCCTTAGTCCATACAGTTAATGTCTTCATATTGTACAAGTGAAAAAAATGAGATCGAAAAGATTAAAGATCTACCTTAAAAATTGTGGTGTGACTGTTTTTCTTATTAGTTTCAATGAACATTTGCAGAGATTTTGGATTTCCATTCATTCACTGTTGCAGTGACTCTGGTTTTAAAGTTAAGCCGTATCACCTCTAGTTCAAGTCTCCAGCTCCTGTAAAAGCTAGACATGAGGCAGCCAAACAAAACAAGAAAACCCCATTGCCAGTGAGTGGTTCGGACTCGTAAGCATACCTGCTTGTTCATAATGACCCTATAAGGCAAAGTGCAGGCTCGGTTTAGGAGAGGCCATGGTACTAGGGATATTATAGCTAATGTCAGATGGATCTTGGCTGAAAGCAGAGAGTATCAGAGGAATGACTATTTGTGTTTCATTAAAAATACAAAGGCATTTGACTGTGTGGATCACAACAAACTGTGGCTGACTCTAAGAACGGGAATCCCAGAACACTTGACTGTGCTTATGCGAAACTTACACTTGGACCAGGAGCTGGTGGCCTAGTGGCAAGAAGCTGTGCTGCAATCCCCAACATAGGTGGTTCAAGGCCACCAGTTGCTCTGTGGGAGAAGGAAGGGCAATCAGTCTCCTACCATGCAATTAACTGCTTCTGAAAACCTGCTGGAGGGCCAACTATAGGTCGGTTCTGACTCAATGGTACACAACAATAACAACATACTTGGACAGGAGGCAGTCGTCAGAACAGAGCAAGGAGCAAGGAAAAACTGCATGGTTCAAAATTGGGAAGGGTATATGCCAAAGATGTGTCATATCTTTTCAATCTATATGCAGAACTGATTATCAGAGAGGCTGGGCTCTATGAGACGTGTGTCATCAGGATTGGAGGAAGACTCATCAACAACGAGCGTTATGCAGATGACGCAATCCTGCTGGATGAAACTGAGGAGCACCTGAAGTACTTGCTGCAGAAGGTCAAGGGCTGCAGCCTTCAATATGGATTGAAACTCAGCATCAAGAAAACAAAGGTTCTTACTACTGGGACACTTGGCTGCATCATGATAGATGGTGAAGAGATTGAGATTGTTAACAACTATGGTTTGCTTGGCTCAACAATAAATGTTCTTGGTACCAGCAACCAGGAAATTATAAGACAAATTGCATTAGGAAAATCTGCCGTCAGAAACCTATCCAAAGCACTGAAGAGCAACGATGTCAGTCTGGAGACTAAGGTGTGCCTGATGCAGGCACTGATCTTGGCATTTACTTGTTATGCATCAGAAAGCTGGAAAATGACTAGAGATGATAGAAAGAGAATTGATGCCTTTGAGCTTTGGTGCTGGGGAAGAATATTACATATACCATGGACTGCTAAGAGAACAAAGAAGTTCATCCTGCAGAGAGTGAAGGCAGGCTGCACCTTGGAGGCAAAGATTCTGAAGCTTTGTCTGATATACTTTGGACATGTTGCAAGGAGAGACCAATCCTTGGAGAGGGATGTCATTCTTGGCTGGGTGAAGGGGCAGCACAGGAGAGGAAGACCCTTGATGAGTGGATGATTCAGTGACTCTGATAATGAGGGTAGGTGTATCAGAGACAATAAGATTGGCACAGGACAGAGCAGGGTATAGGGTTGTTGTACATAGGGTTGCTATGAGTCGTAGGTAACTCGACTGCACATAACAACAACAAGGCAAAGTAGGTTGTTCTTTAGAAAACAAAACTCCTTTGGAGTAGAAGTACCCCATGTTGTTGTTGAGTACCATCAAGTCAGAACTGACTATAGCTGACCGTCTTGTGGATTTTCAGAGGCAGTCAATTGCATGGTAGGAGTTTCATCTTTCTTGGATTCACAATTAACACCCTTGGTAAAAGCAGCCAGGAAGTAAGGAGGAGAAGCATTGCAATGGGAAACTCTGCAGTTAGGTGTTGCAGACCGAGGGTAAAGTGTTTTTAGAATTATTAATAATGAGACTGACTACCAGGAATGACATAGAACAGAGAGTGAAAAACAGGGGGCCAACAGTTCCCATGACTGAAGGTCCCAGGCCATGCTTCCCGGAGTATTTATTGAGAATCATAAGGAAGGTGTTGTTGTTGTTGTTGTTATGTGCCATCGAGTCATTTGAGACTCATAGCGACCCTCTGTACAACAGCCCTAAACCCTGCTCTATTCTGTGCCAATCTCATTGCCTCTGACACATCCATTCCGATTACCCCAGTCACTGAATCAATCCA